CTGATTGCGTCAACCTCGACACTCTGATTAACCAAATGGTATGCACTTTAGCCTTTTATCGTTATGCTACAATAACTTGAAGGTGTTTCTAGCATTACCTACCCCGTAATTGTAGTCATGCCTACACATTTCCTCTACATTGTCATTGGGCAAAGACAGCGATTTGGGCCAACACCAACTGCTAGAATTACTGAAATAATTGCCAGACCATGTGACCAAGCTGCTTAAATTTTAGTCAGATTTCACTTTAGCTACTTGGAAGAAGGCATCTTGTAGTATGTTGGTATAGCTCCTTTCAGCATTGTATCCTTTAATGGGTATATCGCCTTGACAATTGACCAGATTGATTGACTTTACTTGCCATATTAATGCGTTTCTGCTCGGTCGCTTCCCACAGATGATACCGAATAAGATGACGACGAAACCATTTAAGAGGGCATCAATGCTAACGTCCGATACTTTAAGAGTACATAACAACTGTAGAAGAATGTCCATTTGAAATTATGATCAAGAGGCAGAGGCGAGTTCAATCGGGCCCTGTACATCATGGTCTTCATACCAACGTTTTTATAGGTTAATCGTAGCTAACAAACTAGCAAACATTATTTCATATAGTAGTTGTTTCACCTCGTTTTCTCAACTGGGTCGTATCGGCAGGAAGGCCTAGAGGAACGCACCTAATCCGGAGACCATAGTATGCATGATAATTTCCATAGTCGGACGGCGGAATTGGTACATTCCCAGGCATTTCGCCGTCTTACTAGTCGACATCGTCAGTGACCTTGCCATTCTTTTCACCACACAACTCGACAAAGAGACAAGTGACGTCCATCCTCTGACCAATTGTCTGCTAAACAACTGCGATATCTTGGTCCTCATACCTTCGATTATGTCATATACCTTCCTGTTGCTATGCCACACACATTTGTCTTCTGGCAGGGTGGGAAAAGTGGAGAGCGAAACAATATGCCCCAAACTAGCCTGTAGGTCCCGCCTTCCAGATAAACTTCGGAATGATTGAGTCGAGTCCTGAATTAATATCATCAGATTCAATGAAAGCTGGATCTTCCAAAAGGTTATACAAGTTTATCACGTTGTCTGACCGTGGCTGGAGCCATAATGGACAGGCAATTTATTTAATCGTGTGTATTATTTATTGTGCAATAATTCCGCTTAATCATGGCCCTCTCTGCTTTCTCATTTGTGGCTATATGAAAAATTAACAACTTACTCCTCGTCGTTTCTTCCTGTCGGTGCCAGACAACGGTGTGAATGGTGAGCTGAAAAGAAAAAGAAAGGTTGGTTTAAAATAATTATGACATAAAGGTAAATAAGCCAATTATTTATATGGCTCATATTTGAAATAAGCTCTTATTTATTCTATGTAGAACAGATAGTTCGAAAGCCTACTCACAAAAATATTCATTTTTCGAAGTGTTATTCGAAACTGGCAATTGGTTAATACATGAAGAGAAGCTGGGTTTCGAGGAATCCCTTAAATTTCGTTTGCGCAGTGGATGGAAGTAATTCGAAATGAGAGGTATGCCATTATGATTGGTTACCATGACAATGTGAAATGTGATTTTCTCGAAAGTTACTTAGGCAATGAAGATTCATGATCGACATTGGTGACTTAGGCAATGAATTACCGATTATATTCATGCTTACTTGGGAAATACAGGTTCTTCTGGCATGCCCTAACTTAGTGACCAACGCGCACAAATGGTAGTGTGGCGCATTGGCAACATCTCGAAAGTATGCTGTAATCTATGGGATTGATTTCATTTGCGGATAGTGATGAGAAACAGACAGTCCAGCCTGACAGAAGAGGATACTCATGGGTTTATTGTGCTTACTTCCATTTCG